TTCGATTTATTCCTTACACTCCTGGGGTCAAACTATCAAACGGAGTCCAAATGGTGTGAATTACGACTACAGTGGCTCGTGCTGTCGTCAACAATAAGCAAATACTCATACCGTATTATCAGATACTAGTGTATAAGGCCTTGACTTTTAAAAATGTAAACTTTTCAAACGAAAATAAACATTTTTACAAGAGTAAAATTAACACAAAAATGACAGAAAGTAACCAACGACATCCACTGAATTGAAAGCATCTGGGAAAGCCAATATAGAATTTGGCCTGATTAAACGCGTTTACCAGCGCTCAACACTCTGGTGTAACAGCACAATATAAGAAAAGAAAACCCTGTAAAATTCAGTTGGAAATAGCTCAACTAATCAATATTGAATTAAGCCCTACACAATTACATTTTTATGATGAAAGACACAGAGTACCGATCTTAAAGTAACCCCAGGTACTGAAAGCTGATTCTTAAAATGTTAAATTACCTGAGAATATTAAATGTATTTAGTTAAAAAGAACAACAACAAAAAATAAGGAGATATGGTATGATTGCCAATAAGAAATGAAGTTGATGTAAGCGATGATAGGCAACCGTACGGCCTTCATCAATGAGAAAAATCCATACCGTATAGTCGACTATAAAAGGAACCAACTTGAAAAATATGAAACAATTCAATTGAGAAAACTACCGGCCTGATTTAAAACAAAACAAGTTACGAAAAACAAATATAACAGATATGAACCAACGACAACAAGTGAACCACAGGCTCCTGTCATGGGACAGGCACATAAAGAATGAGTGCTCAACCCCACCCCCTAAGCCTGGGACAGTGGTGCAACAGCACGACATAAGAACAATTTGTAAAAACCTTCCTTCAGAGAGCTTGGTTTACACATATATACATATTCAAAGTAATTATTGATATTAAATGTGTTTTCAGCCGTGTATCACCTTCAATGGTGATCCTATGCATGGATATGTCGTAGAGTTTAACTTTTATATATAAATATATACCTCTAACGCGAGACAAAAATTGAAACTAAAAATTTTTGCTTAACTCAATCAATATGTGATAGTTTTAGAATCCACTTCTAATTGGATTAGTAAGAGTTGTCTTAATCCAAAAACATTTATGACAGTATCAAGCCTTACTTATTAAAAGTACATTTTAAAAAGAAAATTACTGTAAAGACTGAAGTGGCAATGTAGTTGTCTTAAAAGTGTAACAAGTATATAAATTGGCATTCTCGTCCACTTTTAATCAGAGATACCTTGGACAGGACATTTTTTAGCCAATTACTATGAACAATAATTGATTTGTTACTATCCACAGCAGTCAATGTTTATATGCAGATTAGTCATCAATAGCTAATCAAGTACAATGTACACCTTCCAAATTACAATCTATATAACGAATTGGTGTACACATTTATTTACATATATCATTATTAATTACAAAATTCATTTTTTTAATGTTAGTTGACTTTTATTTGCAAGAAAAGTGTATGTCAACTATTAAAATTTAAAGAAGTACAAGACCTGTATTAATCATTTTCAAATATACACATCCCTTTGTCGAACGTTTTCCCTTGGGAAAAAAATCGGAGATTGTAAATAAACAAGATTAACTGCAGAAGAAGAGATTGTTTGAAATGATGCTTAATAAAGTATGATGCAATCCCAGTTATCACATTTAACAGACAAATTCTGACTAACACTTTGAATTCGATATTTCTGAAATTGCTAGAATAATCTCTGTCATATAATAAATACCCAAGGAAATTAAATATAAAACATTATGAGATGAAAGAAAAAAGGGACACCAATCTGATAACGACAAATAAAAGCATGTAAAATATTAAATAATAAAAAGTTCATTTGCAAAGTATATCGAAAAACAAAGTCGTGGTCAAAACAATGAAAGACAACTCAAATCAATCGTATGATAGGTAAAGATACGTGTATATACGTGGTCTTATGACAGTGAAGTTTTGGCGGGAATCTCAATAATCACGTGATATATAAAAATCATGATTTCTTTCGTTTTTCATTTCTTAGAAATACTTGATATTGATCAAATTTATCCTGAATGGGTATAATAGTTTAGGAATACTTAGTTAAAACTTGAATGACGCATTTAACAAAATTAATAGGTTAGCAATAACCGGTCCCGTTACGTGCGTACGTCGAGTTAGGTACGTATGTCATTTTATTGGAAATCTCTATTGAGTTATATCAAAACATAATTACGTAATGTCAAAACCATATTATGTAAGACAAAATATCATTAAGTAATAATAAACCAACATAACGTAATATCAGAGTTCCACGTAAGACAGCTGTGGCGTTCCATAGTTTTCTATAAGTCTATATGGATTTGAAGCGACAACTTATCGACATATTTTTATGCAACTAACAAGTGAATGAAAAATAATTTTGCAAGACAGAAATAAGAACATGAACAGATATAGTTTGAAGACTTAATGAAGAATCCCTTCGGATCAGATTCTGATTTCGTTGTTATTTGCGACATAATTAAGCATAAACACTATTAGTCAATCAAATTAGATGATGATGGTTCTTTTTCGGTCTTTCATTATGCCTTGAAGACGCAGAGGGTGTTTATTGTATAGTTATTTAATATAGATTCAATGAAAATAATTGTACTTAAAACCTTAACGGTACTGCAGCTATGAAAGAGGGGTGAAATATACCAGAGGTACATTTAAAATCATAGATTAAAAAAAAACTGACAACACCATGGCTACAAAACAAAAAGACAAACAATAATGAAAAATGATAAAAATATTTCCATGGAATTCCATGAAAGAAGAAACATCATGGAATATAATTCTATGGAATTCCATTGAAAAATATCATGGAAAATATTTCCATGGAATTCCATGGAAAATGTTTCAGATGGAAATATTACTATTTCCTTTTTTTCTCTTTTTTTCCATGGAATTCCATGGAAAACTGGTTCCAATACTCCATGGAATTCCATTAAGTTTATCATGATAGATGATGGAAAATCTAGGGATGGGATACATTATTGTCCTGTAGATGTTTATTGGTTAAATTTGTCATTGTGTTGCTGTCTCATTGACCTATACCTCCATCTCCTTCTATACTGATACTTTAAAGCTAACACTTCCTTATAAGCTTGTGTTAGCAAACTTGATTATCATCACTTATTTTTCTAACAGGTTCAACACATAAAGACAAAGTGTAACACACCATGAAAGATCACCTCTGACCTAGTCAATGTATTATAATTGATTTTTATGACTCTTTCATCTTTTTTTTTAAGATATAAATCTTTAGTCAAGCCCTAGATTGATAAATTATATTATTTTCTTACAGCTATACTTGACAAGGCATCCCCGTCATCAAAGTACTGAAGATTACATGAAGGAATGCACCATGATGCAAAATACCAGTTAGAAAGCTCCACAACAAAACCTGGGCCTTCAAGAAAACTGTCTCGGTAAAATGAATTTTTAATTACACTTTTAAAAATCAGATTAGCTCTACCTTAATTTCTTTTGGCAAATATTTTTGGAGTTTCAGAACCAAGAGTTTCACAATTTTTTTCAACCTGGATCAATTTTATGAATACTGTTTTATTCCTTTATTAAAGTGGCCAAATTCATAACAAGTCAGAAAACATTTTCCGAAATCTTTTAGAACAACTTTTCCAAAACCAACATGTATAATTGACAGTACCGAGATAATTATTCCGAAGCCAACAACGCTTTCAGCTCAAGCCCGTACATACAGCACATACAAGCAGCATAATACATACAAAATGCTAATTTCTATTACTCCTACAGCAGCATTTAATTTCGTTTCAATTTTGTGGTGTGGTAATGTATCGGACAAATACATCACAGAGCATTCAGGATTTCTTGATAATATCAAAGCAGGAGATAAAGTTATGGCAGATAGAGGGTTCCTTATTCGTGACTTACTACTGAAAAGGAAAGCAACACTCAACATTCCTCCTTTCACAAAAAAATGTGCTCAAGGAAAAGGCAGATGTCTTTTGGCTAGAGATATTACAAAAACCAAAAAAATAGCTAAACAGAGAATTCATGTGGAACGGGCAGTTGGACGCTTAAAGAATTTCAAGATTTTATCAAACACTTTACCGTTGAGTCTTAAACCGTTTTCAAAAACGTTAACAAAAGTTTGCAGTTTGCTGTGTAACCTTCAATCACCTTTAGTGAAAAAAAATAACCATAAATTTGCAATTCACATTGTTTTATTACAGTAACTTCTTTTTCATATATAAGATCTTCATTCTCTGAAATATGGTTTATCAAATTCATGTGTTTACTTGTAAAAAATGAATTTCTAGCTTTTAGTTTAGCACTGAAAACTAATTTTCAGCTACAAACCTCTCTTTTATTTCAGTTTAACTTAATTGTTTTTGAAATTCAGATACAGTTAGGCAAAATAATTGTTTATCTTTCCATGTTTCAAATTGAAGAAAATATATTTGAGAAATCAATGTAATTGCACTTAAATGGCACTGCTCCTTTTTATTAATTGATGTTTGTCTTACTTTTTCAACAAACCATCTAGATAGAATCTTTACACTTATTTGAAATCATCAATAACCTTTCAAGGCAATTTAATTATACCCTTTAAAAAGGGTTTGCTTTAATATTAAGATGTACCATCAAGATTAAAAGATTAATTTTTTTAATTTTCTTCCCCATTTGTATCAATTTAACAAAAAATGGATTATTTTGTTTTTGTATGCATCACATTTAATTTAGGTACATGTACAGTCTTGCTGGTGTTTCAAAAAAAGCTTCTAAAAATTGAATTAATTAAAAAAATATGGATTTTTTTTTCAAATTTGAAGCAGGACATTGTAGGATAGAAGTTTCTAGATATTTTTAAAAACTTTTAATTATACTTTAAGATTGACAGCAGCATTTACTTGGAATTTTTAAAAATTTTTGCATTATATGGTAATTCAATGGTAATTCAGTCAGATTGTATAGCTTGTACAACATATTTATGGAAAAATTGCTCACATTTTACAATAATGTCTTTGTATTGATTTTTGTCAAAGATGATTCTATCAACTGCAATTCCTTTTTTGGTGTAAAATACAAAATCACACCATTGCTTTTTACAAATCCCCATCTTACCTTGTATTTGGGTATGCCATGAAGATGATTCCTTCAGCCTTAGACAATTGTTCTCATCTTTGTACACATGATAATGACTCTCTAATTAGCAGGCATCTAGAGGCTTTATATTCTGATGCATAAAACTGAATTTAATTTCCAATACCCCCTTTCCACAACAGCTGCATGACACTACTCTATCAGGGGAGGCTCCCATGACCGGAAATTATGTACAAACATATAGACCACAATTGTTAATTTGGACATTTTTGTGCTTTGTCCTATACATTTCAATGTAAAGTTGTCTAGCCACAGGTGCATTCCTTTTACCAAAGTTAATTGAAGGACATGATAACATTTATTCCTGCCCTAATACTTTCCTTAAAATGTAATTGGTTGGTTTATCATTGAATCTAAAATGACAGACAGAATAAAAACAAAGAAGCTGTTATCTACCCTTCCTATGCTCAAACCATGTATTATTATCCGATTGCCCCCTTGTTATTTCCTCAATTTTAGAAATGATTTCACCTGAATAGACAGTTTGCAAATAACTTCCCAAAGATTTCCCTTCAGACAATGAGCAAGATGATACAGCATCAGAAAGGGAAGGGATTTCAGCTTCTGCTTCATCCTCAGATGCATCACTTGGAGGGTCAAGGACTTGTAATACAAGGAAGTCTGTGCCTGAAAACAATTTATACAGGTCTTTTTCAATAACACGGTGTTCAATAGTACTGGCTGGTTTGTAATTTTTTGTCATGGATGGGGTTTTTTTTTTCTGTTTAGTGGAAGGGCCTCGCCTGATTTCTATTTCATCAATTCCCATCGGCTCTGATTTCTTCTTTGGTTTATACCAAATGCATTCAACATCAGTACATGCTTGTGTGAACCTGTCTCTATGCCTTTCAATGAAACTCTCGATGGAAAATAGCAAAGCAATACAATGCTTGCATGCCCCATTACCTCTGAAATTTAAAGTGTAACTTGCAAACTGTTTGAATTCCACCAGACAAGACAAGTGTAATTAGATAAACTTCAATGCAAATAGGGAAATAGAGCTACTTAAAATAAAATTATATGAAAACATAATGACTATACTTCAGAAAAGTATTAACGGTGAGATAAAGGTATTACTTTTGGCACTGATTGAATAATGAATTATTCATTAAATGTATAATTTTATATCATTTGTGTATGCACAATTTCTCAGCATCCAGGAGTTGGTAAGAGCAAAGACTAGTTATCTCAGAGTTGGAATAAAGTTTTGATTATGAATACTGTTACCATAAAACAAAAACTGCATGTACATTTGTACCATGTATGAAATGTCCTAGTTATGCTATGAATTCTAAGGAGTACATGTGATTTTCATTTTAACAAAATTATAATCCATTTCTATAATTGCCAGTTGAACGCTACAGCTAGGTGTTCTTCGGTATTGTGACATTTCTTTTCTGTGCCTTTGAACGGCATGTTCAGTACTTTAATATCTTAATTCTTATAAATTAGCTAGGCAGTAACTTCAGTTCTCATATTAAGCAAAATTCTTACATTGAAAATGGCTAAAAGAATAGGATGAATTAACATGTAAATAACAGTTAATACATATTTACTTTTTTGTTTACTCAACTTAAAATTTTTTTTACCACATTCTGCTACATCTGGTTCTTAATCTTCCAACATATTGTTCACTCAGCATCATGTCTGGCATTAGAAAATACAGAAATCATTCAAATTGTTGAAATAATGAAGCTAGTGAAAGAAACACAGAAATGACTTTTTAAACAATCAAGTGCAAGTCAGTGTTTTTTTCAATTGCCACAGAAACTACCGATTCAGATTGCCATTTTTTTCCAGGTTGATTTAAATTTCAATTTTCTTGGCAAGAAATTGGTAAAATAACTTTTAAAAAAAGCTGTTAAGAGACTCTTTCACTTCAAAACTTTGTAGGATGAATCAGCTACAGAATTACCTACATGTGTAACATTAACTAATCAGAAATACACATGTACATTTAGAAGCAGCCAATCCATTCAATGGTTAATATGCAGTAACCATTTTATATGCTTTGAATTACTAGAGTAAAAGGAAAAAGAGCGAGATAATCTATGAGATCACTGATAAAACATTCAACCTTTCAATATATTCAAAAAGAAGGGAAAAACAACAGTATTCCTGGTAGCCTGTATGCAATCTAATTCATGAAAACAACTGGACAAAAGACATGCTAGTTGAAAATATATTGAACCTTGGACAACGTGAACAACAATAATAAATCTAAACAAACTAGAAAGAAGAATCAATGCAACAAGGAGACACTTACGCAACACAAGAACAACCGCCAGAAACAATTTCACCCGAAGGTCTAACCAAAATCCATACATCATATGGTAATTCTTTCTGTATAGTTTCTGGAATGCATGTATCACCAACATAAAAGCAGTTTCCATCAAATTGAGAACTAATCTTCACAGAATCAATATGGTTGGCCTGTAATAGTCGAAGGTCTAACCAAAATCCATACATCATATGGTAATTCTTTCTGTCTAGTTTCTGGAATGCATGTATCACCAACATAAAAGCAGTTTCCATCAAATTGAGAACTAATCTTCACAGAATCAATATGGTTGGCCTGTAATAGTTGATACCCATTGTCCCTTTTATAACTCTTAAGTTTATTACTGGACAAACCACAATAATACAGCATGTATACCAATATGTCACCAATTTCAATGTTAGGAATAAATCTCAGATCAGCGGACCACACAACATTAGAAATCTCAGGAGCTATGACCTCCTTTCCCCCCTTGTCAAACTTGAAACGGTGATGTCAGGTTCCACGTCATTCTCCTCGTTCAATATAGGCAATTGAAGTTCCAATGCTAGATCACAGTGTTTAACCAGATGATCTTTTCTGTAAAAGTAACAGGTTACGCCTCTCTTTTGCAGAAAACCTTTCAAATCGTTTACATTTTGAAATTTGAAGGACATTTCCGTTTTACCGGAAATGAACATGCACCGGTGTCACATGACTAAGATACAAACTAAGTGCCGAAAATATACGGAATGGATTAACTCGAAAGTGTTCTATTGTTTTACATTTGTTATTTCCGGGACTTTTATATCTGACTATGCGGTATGGGCTTTGTTAATTGTTGATGACCGAAGGGTGACCTATAGTTGTTATTTTCTGTGTCATTTTGGTCTCTGGTGGAGAGTTGTCTCATTGGCAATTATACCACATCTTCTTTTTTGTATATCAGTACACAGAATCTATACTTCAAGACCATCATGTATTATTTGTGAAGTTCATACGAATTTATTTATCAACAAGGTCTTGGTACCTTCGATGAACTTTTTTAGAAATAGGACGAGACGTTCTTTTACATACCCCTCAAAGGGGAAATCTCATCACAGAAAAAATTTCATCAAATATAAAAACATGTTTTCGGCGTAAAAGACACAAACCGCGCGGTCGAACGTGCAGTAACTGAAATCAGCATTTGGCTCTTAATTTGGAGGTTGCAAGGAAACAAATGCTGACTTGGCACTTTTATTTTGATGTCTTTATATCTTTGTAAATGGTATTTAAGAATCAACGTCATAATATGTACAATCAAGGTACCAGGATCATATAATTGTTACAACGTTTTATACTTATATCAATATTTTAAGATTGCTTTAACAAAAATTCAGAAGCCAGTTTGTCTACACATGATGCGCATTTCCACAATTAATTTCACCATGTCAGGTTTTTAGTTAGAAATTGAAACGATCGATTATATACGAAATAAATAAAACTACTCATGCGCATTGTTTACGTTGAGATAATCCCTTATCGAAAGATTTCCTATCGTCCTGTCGGTATATGTATAAGATGTCGTTATCTTTTTTTCGAAAATGTCTATTAAGTTAAAATCTTTAAAAAATAGACATCTGTTACATACGTTCTTCAAAGCTACTAATTTATGTAATGAAATATTGTAGCAAAACTTGCGCTTTCTATTGCAAACGTTGTATATTTTCGTTAGTAATGTAACATTTTATGCAAAAATTAGATTGGAAATAGCTTTAAATCAATAGAAAATATTTGCTTTCTTTATCAGTATTCAAATATTGATTGACGTGTTAGCAATCTTATAAAATCACTTTATATATCTAGCTATTGATCACTTATAACAAGTAATTTCTTTGATAGTCTAAACAGATTGTTATGTTGTTACAAATTTGTGCTAATGTCGCCATCATTATGCAAGTACATAAAAACCACTCAATGTGTGAAGTTGAAATGATAGATTAACTAAGGAATATCCGGTACTATGATGTTCATATTACCTTTTCAAAAAAAACTCATGTGAATTTTCAAACAGGTTTACATATAAAAGTATGGTTTGATAAAAATATACAATTTCGCATTTAAAAATAAACGGAATCTGATGAAACTTTGTAATATTTGCGTTAATGGTATAAGTATCAATAATTGATTGATGTCTTTTGCAAAAAAAATAAAGACACTTTTAAATGTTTATATTATTCTTAAATTCAAAAAATCTGTAAGCAACGGTAGACTTATTATATGGTTAGTTAACATTTAGTTAGGACAATTACTGTAATGTCTGATATATCAACAACTGGTCATCGTATGCAGACAATGTATTTTGTTAAGGACAAAATTACTTAACGAATTAATACAAAATTCCATCCTTTGCCATGTATTTTTATTTCAAGTTGTTATTTCGTGGCATAATGAGAGACTATCAATGTCCTTTTGTAACTTTCATATACGAATTTCCCATATTAACGTAAAATTGTACATTCACATTGCAAAAACAAAGGGGAACTTTTTTTATTACAATTGAACACTTCCGTCTCATTAATTGATAGTCCGTTGGCTATTTGTAATGGAATGTATTTTTTTACTTGGTAAGAAGTAAAATAACGAAAATACCGAACTCCGAGAGAAATTCAAAACGACTTATCAAATAGCAATATCAAAAGCTCAAACACATCAAACGAATGGATAACAACTGTCATATTCCTGTTTTGGTACAGGCATTGTAGGTAGAAAATGGTGGATTGAACCTGGTTGTTCTGCTAACTAAACTTCTCACTTGTGTGATAGTCGCATAAAATTCCATTATATATAAACAACAATGTGTAAACAAAACAAACAGACATAATAGTTAAAAATGTCAAAATAATAGTGTATAGCAGTCAACATTGTGTTATAATCTTAATCACTATAAAATCATTCAAAAATGTCAAAATAGGACAACGAAAAGGCATACAGACAAAGGCACATAAACATTAGCAAAAACGAAACACAAGAATACTAAAATTTACCATAACCCATAACACAATGACGGGATGTATAAGAACCCATGTCAAATGGATATTATCAAAAATAAGCTGAACAGTAAAAGGAATAATTTACAAACTAAAGACAAATAAAAGAACACTATAACATGAAACTAAGATGATAAACAAAGTAGGTGCGAAGAATCTATACTTCAAGGCCATCCTGTATTACTTGTGAAGTTGATACGAATTATTTATCAACAAGGTCTTGGTATCTTCCGATATTATTTTTTTTAAAGAAACGTTCTTTAACATAACCCTGGTTCATCAACTTTCTGCTCAGACACTGGTGACGTTTGCACAGTTTGAGTGACAGCTGCAAGTTCCTAAATCCCGAATGAGTTGGAAAATGTGTATCCCATATACAGGTGAAGTTGGTATATTGCTACTAAGGTAGGGAAA